TGATTTCATCAAAAATTGAATTATTGGGGTTCTTTGATATTCCAAATCTAACTGTGTATTTAGATTTTTAATTTTAAGTCTCGTTTTTTAAATTGGTCTACATTAAGGTCCAAAGGGTCCAAAATTAAACTTAGTTTGATTTTAGCAAAAATTGAATTCTTGGGGTTCTTTGATATGCTGAATCTAAACATGTGTTTAGATTTTTGATTATGGGCCCAGTTTTCAAGTTTGTCCAAGTTGGGGTCCAAAATTAAACTTTGTTTGATTTTAACAAAAATTGAATATATGGGGTTCTTTGATATGCTGAATCTAACCATGTACTTTGATTTTGGACATTGGACCATAATAGGTAAATTAAAAAGATTCAAGTTCTTAGACCACATTCTTTCTGTGTCAGAAACCTATGCTGTGTCAAATATTTAATAACAATCCAAATTCCGAGCTGTATCAAGCTTGAATGTTGTGTCCATACTTGCCCCAACTGTTCAGGGTTCGACCTCTGCGGTCGTATCAAGCTGCGCCCCAGCGAAGCATTTTATTGGTTATTATCTTGAATATTATTATAGATAGAGATAAACTGTAAACAGCAATAATGTTCAGCAAAGTAAGATCTACAAATAAGTCAGATGACCAAAATTGTCAGTTGACCCCTTAAGGAGTTATTGTCCTTTATAGTCAATTTTTAACCATTTTTCGTAAATTTTTGTAATCTTTTACAAAAATCTTTTCCTCTGAAACTACTAAGACAAATTTAACCAAACTTGTCCACAATCATCATTAGGGTATGTAGTTTAAAAAATGTGTCCGATGACCCCGCCCGCAAATCAAGATGGCCGACATGGCTAAAAAATAGTACATAGGGTAAAATGCAGTTTTTGGCTCATATTTCTGAAACCAAAGCATTTAGAGCAAATCTGACAGGGATAAAATTGTTCATTTGGTCAAGATCTATCTGCCCTGAAATTTTCAGAACAATCAGGCAACACGTTGTTGGGTTGCTGCCCCTGAATTGGTAATTTTAAGAAAATTTTGCAGCTTTTGGTTATTATCTTGAATATTATTATAGATAGAGATAAACTGTAAACAGCAATAATGTACAGCAAAGTAAGATCTACAAATAAGTCAACATGACCAAAATTGTCAATTGACCCCTTAAGGAGTTATTGCCCTTTATAGTCAATTTTTTACAATTTTCATAAATTTTGTAAATTTTTACAAAATATTTTCCACTGTAACTACTGGGCCAAGTTCATTATAGATAAAGATAATTGTAAGCAGCAAGAATGTTCAGTAAAGTAAGATCTACAAACACATCACCATCACCAAAACACAACTTTGTCATGAATCCATCTGTGTCCTTTGTTTAATATGCACATAGACCAAGGTGAGCGACACAGGCTCTTTAGAGCCTCTAGTTTAGCATGTTTAAGGGAAATGGAAGTAAAGCTAAAATGAGATTTAAGATTATGCTTTGCTTTGTAAAAAGAATTGCCTGAAAATCATGCCGTAAGGTCACCATCCTTAACAGGTCTAACATGTCTGACTTTTACTAATTTCATGTTGTAATTGTTTTCTTTATGATGGTGTATTTGAAAGTAAATTTAAGAATTTTGTCCCCCGCCCAACGTGTTGTGGGGTACATAGAAATACCAGGCGGGCATCTGTCCGTCTGTGCGATACGGAGTGTGCGTCTGTCTGGTCTTATTAGCGCTCTCAGGTGTAGTTTTTGTCTCGCCTGCGACGAAAGTCGCAGAAAGTGAGACATATGTATTACTATCCGGCGACGGCGGCGTAAACTATTTGTATAAAGCTTTATATTTCAGAAGGTAGAAGCCTGGATGCTTCATACTTTGTATGCAGATACCTTATGTTACGAACTTTCCGTCTGTCATATGTCCAATGTCCTTGACCTTATTTTCATGGTTCAGCGACTGCTTGAAAAAAAAGTTTAGTTTTTTTGTAAAGTAAATTTCTCACTTATTATGAGTAATAGGATAACTATATTTGGTATATGGGTTCCTTGCAACGTCTACATGTCCATCAGACAGGGTTCACCTGACCTCAGCCTCATTTCATGGATCAGTGATCAAGGTTAAAGTTACGTGATTAGGTCTGTTTCTCAGATACTACAAGCAGTAGGTCAGCTATATGTGGTGTATGGAATGATTATAAGGGATACATGTCAGTCTGGCAGGTTTCATCTGACCTTGACCTCATTTTCACGGTTCATTGGTCAATGTTTAGTTTTTGTGTTTTGGTCTGTTTTTCTAATACTATAAGCCATTGGTCAACTATATTTGGTGTATGGAATGATTGTAAGGTGTACATGTCTGTCTGGCAGGTGTCATTTGTCCTTGACCTATTTTCATGGTTCATTGGTCAATGTTAAGTTTTTGTGTTTTGGTCTGTTTTTCTAATACTATAAGCAATAGGTCAACTATTTTTGGTGTATGGAATGATTGTAAAGTGTACATGTCTGACTGGCAGGTGTCATTTGTCCTTGACCTCATTTTCATGGTTCATTGGTCAATGTTAAGTTTTTGTGTTTTGGTCTGTTTTTCTAATACTATAAGCAATAGGTCAACTATATTTGGTGTATGGAATGATTGTTAGGTGTACATGTCTGTCTGGCAGGTGTCATTTGTCCTTGACCTCATTTTCATGGTTCATTGGTCAATGTTAAGTTGCTCTTGTTTGGTCCTCTTCTCAGATACTATAAGTTATAGGTCAACTATATGTGGTGTATATGGAATGATTGTAAGGTGTGCACGTCTGTCTGACAGGTTTCATCTGACCTTTAGCTTATTTTCATGGTTCATTAGTCAATGTTAAGTTTCTGTTGTTTGGTCTTCTTCTCAGATGCTATAAGTAATAGGTCAACTATATTTGGTGTATGGAATGTATTTTATTATTTAACTGCTGATTACTTACATTGAAATAGATTATTTTATAAAAATCTTTAAATAACATTAATAATGATAATAAATAATAAAAACTTTTAAGGGATCATTACTAAACCGTGATTAACAAAAACATTGGAAGGTGTGAAAATGTTAAAATAAGGTCACTCATGCATGAATGTTTAACATAGAATACAGTTCACTCCAGTCCCTTCATAAAGATTAATTGGCTGAATACGTACAGATTGAAGAACTTTTGAAATTTTGTTTGCACAACAGAATCACATTTACTGATTTTTGATACATATGAAATAAAATAAGTATTGAGATAAGTAAAAATATTTTAGCATAGCAACATAAATAGATAATATGAAAATATGACTTTTTACAATATTTTGATCAAAGATTGAAGATAATTTTAGTTTTTTTTTTTTTTTGGGGGGGGGGGGGGGGTGGGGGAGTTTTTCAGGTTCATCTCAAGGAATTGACAAATATTTATCCAGTTTCTGCAAAGCCTTAAAACTTTTCCTTGTGCACAGGTTTGTCTGTACTCAAGAGGAAATAAAAAAAAAAATGGCCATATTTGTCAATCCCTTCTGATGAACCTTAAATCTAGATGAAAAATTATTTCATAAGAAATTTCAAAGTTTGCTTTTAGTAGTCATTTGACTTAATGTTTCAAAAAAAAAATTTGTATAATGCGATTTTATTTACTCAAATGTTGTTGCTATATTTGCCTGTGATTTATTAGCCAAAAGTGTATCCCATGTGATTTTATGATGCTGTTTTTTCTAAAAACATGTTACTCAACATGAATGTAAAAGCATTACAGACCTATATTTAAGCCTAAGGTCAAGGTAACTAAAAAAGACTAAAATTTGAACATAGGTTTCAGGATGTATTCAATGGGATGTTCATTTAATGTAAAGCTTATATAAACTTATTTTTTTTACTTTCAACATAAATTCAATTATGAACACTAAAACAGGCAAGACATTTCAGTGTGTCCACTCTTGTTGTCAGATTTTAATCAAATTTCTATTAAAGGGTGATGTCAGCAAATTGTCTTTGACAAGTTCGAAAATCAGTGCCAATCAACTATTTTAAAAAGAGTTATGCCCTTGGAAATATTAATTATATGGAAAATTTCATTGTTAGTGCTCTCAATGTGTTACAATTCTTGATAAATTTTCATGAAACTATTATCATAGGTTTATATCAGCAATGTCTCAAACAAGTTAAAAAATCAGTGCTGATCACTTATTCTAAAAAAAGTTATACCCTTGGAAAAATTAATTATATGGAAAATTGTATTGTAAGCGCTCTAGATCGATCTCATGTGCACAATTTTTGCTAGATTTTTATCAAATTTATATTAAAGGTTTATTTAAGCAATCTCTCAGGACATGTTTGGAAATCAGTGCCGATTTTTAAAAGAGTTATGCCCCTTGGAAATATTGGGAATTGCATTGTATTTGCTCTCAAGCCTTCATTTCTATAAGATATTTGTAAAAAGTTTTAAAGAACAAAAAAAACGTTTTTTATGCCCCACCTAGGGGCATTATGTTTTTCAGTCTGTTTGTCTGTTTGTCCGTCTGTCTGTCCCGCTTCAGGTTAAAGTTTTTGGTCAAGGTAGTTTTTGATGAAGTTGAAGTCCAATCAACTTGAGACTTAGTACACATGTTCCCTATGATATGATCTTTCTAATTTTAATGCCAAATTTTTTTACCCCAGATTCACGGTCCACTGAACATAGAAAATGATAGTGCGAGTGGGGTATCCGTGTACTATGGACATATTCTTGTTAAAGTTATTGCGCTTGGATAGATAAAATATGTGAAAAGCAGGGGACATTGGAACTGTTCTTTAATTTTTTTATGCATTTAACATGTTTATTATTGCAGTTGTTAAGCAACGGACAACAAATGCAACTTTAATTATTGCATTTTCAGGAAAATGATGCTTTCAAATTTTTGTTTTTGATGAAAGCAATTTTGTTCCAAATTTTACAATAATAAAAACATCACAAAAAATTTCTGAATTTACAGTAATTTGTAGCCTAAAGTTTGAGCAGTACTTAATATTGAATTTTTTTTCCAGAACTGTAGATGTACAGGCTGTGCTCATGGAATGGATGTGGCAAAAAGATGGATCCAGTGCCCAAGAAATCATACAATTCTTCACCAGATATAACTATGAACCATTCAGTCCTGGCAGCAATCTTGTATTGGACATACATTATCCCGGAAGTTGGCCTGTTGATGTGCTCTGGAGAAGAAAGAAGACTGGAAATCCATTCAAAAATGGACCAGTCACCTCTGTTGGACAGTTTGCTCAGCATGAAAGGCAACAACAACAACAAAAACAAAATGAAGTTCAACAGCAACCTAGACAGTCACTACAACAAAGAGGGCAACAAAGTCAAACATCTCTGAAGAATGAAGGTAGAGGTGATACACCTGGAAGGAGCCAAAATCGGCATGATAGATCTCAGCAGGCGCATCAAACCCGAGTCCAGAAAAATCAAGCTTATGATCATGCTGAACAATCCAACCAAGTACCGTCAAAAGGAAGATATGGTGTAAATTTTTACCGTAGAGATGGGAAATCATGGGTTCCAGATGACTCGTCATGTTCTGCATCAGACAATTTCCTGAAAGCTAATTTGCATACGCCAGCGGGAGATGTTGCGATATATGTACACGATTCCACCACTGATGTTCATGTCAGCGGAGGACTTCTCAGGAATGAGGCTTGGGAACCTCATTTGATCAGGCTTATGTTTGATCTGCTGACCAAAGATTCACAGCTTCAATTTATGGACCTTGGTGCTAATTTAGGTGTGTTCTCTTTGGCTGTTGCTAAGTTTGGTAGGCGTGTATTTGCTGCTGAACCACTGTCAATCAATTTACAAAGATTTTGTAAATCAATTCTGGCCAACCATTTTCAGGACAAGATTACTGTTGTTACAAATGCACTGTCAGATAAGATTGAAAAGGTATCTTTTGGGAAAGACCATGGGAACGTAGGAGGTACTTTTGTATTGGAAGGGAAGAACATGGAAAAATATTCTGCTAGTGCATATGGAGGAAAATATGATGATATCGTACAAACAGCTAAACTTGATAGCTTTCTACGACTCCCAGGTTTTAATTTTACTAAAGTGATTATGAAAATAGATGTGGAAGGATATGAACATCATGTATTCAAAGGCGCTAAAAAATTCTTCCAAGAAGTGGATGTACAGGCCGTTCTAATGGAATGGATGTGGCATAAAAGTGGATCTGATGCTACTGAAATTATGAATTTTTTCAAGGATCTAAATTACGAACCAATTAATCCTAACTCAAATTCAAGATTAGAAGTTACTCTATCTACTTCATGGCCAGTTGATGTTTTGTGGAAAAAAACGAAAAAAACATCAGTGGTTAAAACTTCCCAAAAAGTTTCATCTCAGTTTACTTCTGGGGTTCAAGTTTATCACCATGATAAAAGACAATGGCTTGCTGATGATAGCGTCTGTCTCAACCTTCCACCAATGACAAGAGGCAAAATAAGTGACTCCCTTGCTGGACCATATACTATCTTTGTTTACGACCCATCTGTTGACCAGTGGGTTAGTGGGAGTATTCTACGGGATGGGGGCTGGGAAACAGGTCTAGTCAATAGTGTTATTTCATTACTTAAACCAGACGAAGACTTACAATTTGTTGACTTGGGTGCTAATTTAGGTGTATATGCATTAGCCGTAGCAAAATATGGTAGGAATGTTATAGCCGTAGATCCATTGACTTCTAACGTGCAACGTATGTGCAATTCTATCATAGAAAATAATCTAGGAAGTAAAATTACATTAATATACAATGCATTATCTGACACGAGAGGTACTGTCTCTTTAGGTAAAGATGAGAAAAATGTTGGAGGAACATTTGTGATGGACCGTAGCAATGCAAATAAAGTTCAGGGTAGCAACGTAAATGGAAAAATCGGAAAGGATGTTGTTACAGCTAAATTAGATGACTTACTAAATGTGCCAGGATTTAATTTCAGAAAAATTATTATGAAAATGGATGTGGAAGGATATGAGGGATATGTATTAAAAGGGGGGACGAAATTTTTTGAGATGGTTGATGTCCAGGCTGTTTTTATGGAATGGATGTGGTTGAAGTCTGGATCAGTCACACAGGAAGTGTTAAGTTTCTTCACATCTCGTGGATATAAACCATATGTATCTACTTCAGGAAGAGAACTCAGGGTGGAAGATGCTACAGGCTGGCCAGTTGATATGATGTGGAAAAAATAGGTAAGAATTAAAAAAAAAAATGGTAGACCCATTTACAAGCATAAAAGTGTTATTAAGTTAACAAATCCTATTAAATTATCTCCCCCTTGATTGAACAAATTTGTGTAACAAAGTTATCTCCCCTGATCCTGTATATTTTAATTCAACTGCATCAAGTTTGATAAACAATTGTAATTGAAAAGGTCGTGAAGGTGAGACATGCTGAAATTATAAGAACTTTCTTATAATACAGTTACAGATAGCTTTAAGTACTCAACATACTCAATTATACTTTGAAAGAAGAAAAGGAATGATAAAAAATATTTGACAGTACAACAGACCACAATGACCTGACCAACATCCAAGAAAATAATAGACATACAAACAATTTTCAAAAATACATGGTCCAGATAGCCTGACATGGTACATGTCTCTCTTACTAGGTTTGTAAGTAGCAGAAAACAAATTTGTCCAATATCACATATCACCAAAAAACTGTCAGATTCAAAAGGTGGAAGTTTTAAGAGGGAGCACCATATGCAGTTTATGTAAAAAAACATTGTTTTGGAGACTCAAATGATGCTAAAGAAACAAAGCAAGTTTTTGGAATGTTATGTTGAACAAATTATTTATTTTCTTATCTTTTCTTTTTTTTTTTTAATTATTGTTGAATTTACACTTACACATGATTTGTGGTATATTATTTTCTTGCAGGTTGTTTAAAGAAGTATGAGGTTAATAAAACAAAGATATGTGTTCAAACTGTTATAAACTTGCTACATCTGTGAATATCATCATTAATTCATCACCAGCAGACTAAAAGAATCATGTGATTGGATCTTACCTTTCCTTCTTTGTTTTGATTGGATGTTGTAAGATTATTATGTCTCTCTGCAGTCATGGCAACAACATTTTTATATTTTCTTTTCTTTATATTTTCCAACTAAAGTCATGACAGTATTGAAGTGATAAAATATTTATAGGAAAATGTATTACAGAAAAAATCAAAATAGTCTGTCCTTTATCATGTTTATCATGTTCTAATGTTTGTCTTAATATATGAAATAATTTTATCAACAAAAACATTTTGATATTTTCCCTTCTTTGGATTTTCCACCAACAGTATTGAAGTGAAATGTATTTATAGAAAAAAATCAAACTGCTTGGTCCTTTATGGCTAATTGGAACATTTCTACTTAGATAAATATGAAATAATTTTCATAATTTAAAGAAATTTTAAGGAGATGAATATTCTGCTGTCCACATTTATATAGTTTAGCTTAAGTGTCCATGACAACTCTTTCAAGAACGTCTTTAATTGACAAAAAATGTTGATATGTTTAATGTCAGGGTAAATGAAATCATAATATAATTATATGCATGATTTATATCTGAATTTTCTATTACTACTTGCTATTGTATTGTTATTTTATAGGCAATTAATTGAAATATTTATCAACTAAATCTATGTTGTATTTAAGCCAATGATAGATGTGAGAATAATATACTGAGTAAATAAAGTTTAGCAACAAATATTGTTGATACATGTACATATTTTTGAAAATTAATTATACTTAAAAAAATAACAATAAATAAATTATTGTAACAAAGAAAATAAACCATAAGATTCAATTCGTAAACAACAACAAAAATAATATTTAAAAAAAATGTTCTGCAACTATATCAATTTTTATTTCAAAGTTTTTAAACTAAAACATATCTTGTGGAACTTTTTTTACTCAGTATAGATCGATAACAATTCTAGAAATTTAAAAGTCTCCCTATATCATGTATAATTTTGATCCATTATATAATACCTATATTATTCAATATCAAGAAGACTTCATAAGGAACATATTATTTCAAATTACCAAAGCAAACATTCTATAAACATGATAAATATAAATCAAGTCTTTTGTATTTTCTGAGTAAAATTTCAGATAATAAACATCCTCAATCAATATCAACTTTGGTTATTTTTAAATAAAACAAAATTTTAAAAATCCACCACCTGTAAGTGTACAGTATTATAATTTGCTTCGCTTAAAATCAAAAGCTTCTATAAATGGCAATTTTTAAATGATTCTCTTTTATATCTTTCTCATTATTATTATATTTATATGAGTTATGTCCCTTGGAGAAGATTTTTTTTAGTCATGTATTATTAAATATTTATTGCAATTTCAACATATTTATTTTATTTTCACGACTGTAAACTTGATTGTCAGGTAACACATTAACTAAGGGTATGATAAGACTATTAAGACCTCATGTATAGAAAACAACAAACTAGGTGGTTCTAAATTAATGCTGTTAAACTGTACGCTATATGTGAATATACAAACTTTATAAAACTTTCATATTTATATTCCTTAACATGTTTCAAATAAGGGATTACTATACATTTATTTCCCGTGCCGGAGGGAGATATGAAGATTTGTTCACCCAAGAATATTCATATTTCACGAGGGCTCTGCCCGAGGGAAATATGATTTTTCGAGGGTGAGCAAATCTTCATATCTCCCGAGGCAAAGGGAAATGAATGTTTTATTCCACTGCCTATGCTTTGTTTACTATCAATACATTAAATATTTTTTTGCATATATTTCTTTTCTTATCCGCTTGTTTTTGTAAGTCAAACTAAACACGACATACCCATTGATAAACAGTAAGGATCAAAATTTAATTATAAGTCTTTTTGTTTTATCGTCTGAAATAAATTTGAACACGATAATGATTGTTGCTATCGCTATTTTAAGAAGAATAAGAAGTTCAAAACGTTATGTACAATAACCGCGCGTAACGTCGCACGAAGTAATCTCAACATTTCAGAGGGGAATATGATCCTCAGAATGGAATATGAAGATTTGTTCAATGACACGTGGGATAGTCGCAACCGATCAAATATTGATTAAACTATCAATATGTTTAAACAGTGGAATAATAAAAAGTATCTTTTGCTCATCTATTAACTTAGAGATTGCTTTCATGACCAAAATGCCACATATATATATATATATATATAAACAAGTCTAAATTGAAAACAACGTTCAAACCTATGATTACGTTGGATAAAAACCGCAACTTTTATACGTGTGCATGCATAACAAATTTCTTATTTGAGGGGTCTAAATACAGCACAAACAACATTTTCCAAAAGACCAAAAAAGTGAAAAAGTATATTTTAACAAAACGCATTTGATTAACAGGTCGAACAACAAATGTTCTTAAATCCTGCTGACTGCCATTGGCGATTGCCAAATAAACGGATCACAAGGTGCAATAAATGGATCTTAACTATAAATTTAATACCAAACAGAAAACAATAAACTTGCGGCGAAGATGGTATATATATATATATGTATATATATATATATAAGGAGAATACAGTGGAGTCCTATTGGGAATTATTAATTATTCCGTTTTCTTTGAAATTCTTAAGATCACATTAAAGAAAATGACATTTAGGCTGGACCCTGCCCCTAAACTATTTGTGGATGACTTGAGGTTCAGAAGTGTAAAAGTTTAGGCCCACACTCAATAACCTGTGATGTTATGGTTGGGACTATTAAGGGATTTTTGTAATTTGCTTTGAAATGTCTTTCAATCATTGGAAATATATTAAAAAAGACTTGAGACAAGTACCTAAGCCTCTTTCCTACCTACCAGATAAGATATAAGGGAACTTTCGAATTGTATAATTTTTATGTTTCATATTTTTTTGTATTTGAAGTCTGATAAAACATGCGCTTCTTTTGTTTTAAATGTAACATACTTACAATTGAACAAAAGCAAATTCTTTAAATAATTGTAATAGAGTATTAATTTATAAAATCAAAACTCTTCCCACCCAGCTGATTTATTCTTTCAAATTTTTGTGTATGATTATTTTTGAAAGTTGGATGAATGATTGGTTGTATTGCTTTAAGGAAGTTTTCTTTTTAAACTTTTTCAATGGGAACTATTTCCTTGCATATGGTCCTTGTTGAGTTATGTCGACATACATTTTGTCCTCAATATATATACTAATATTTGACTTTAATATAGAAAATGATGCATTTTTTCATTGCTTTTTGCTAATGTATAGAATACATAATTTTTTGTGCATTTGTTTCTTTCTATTTTGTTATTGTTTGTTTATTCTGTAACTATTATTATTTTTTTATTAGTATAGTATTATTAGATGTTATTTATATTATCATACATCAACTTTGCAATTTAGATTGTATATTTGAAGATTATGTTATACTGTATTATGAAATATTTACTCATCTAGTATATTGAATTATATTGCTTGAAACTATATATATGTACTATACAAGCGTAATCCTAATGTGACAGGTCATAAATTTGTCTTCCTTTTAAGATTTGGTGTCAAAATTAGAAAGCTGTTGAAATCTACTAGAATTTCGTTATCATTGAGTCGAACTGTCAGACCTAATTGAAATTTCACAATCTTTTACAAAAATTCCTGAAATCAAAAAGTTACTTTGTACTACATATTGCCATTGAAGACGGTTTTGATATTTTAAACAAAACGTTGCAAATTTGTCATTTTTTTCGTAAAATTATACATCAAAGGATAAAACCAAAAAGAATTAGTTTGTATCTTAAAAGCAATACACAACTTCACTTCTGGTAGAATATTGCTTTTTTGTTATTTGTTAGAATGTTGTTGTTATCTATTATTTATGAAAACATTGCCGCTATCTTTTGACTGTAATATTTTTTCTGTCTATGAAGAAATAACATCAAAAATGTGGTGCACACTGAATAACCCGTGTAGCGGGTTATTTAAAAGTGTGCACCACATTTTTTATGTTATTTCGAATAGATAGAAAAAATATTACAGTCATTCCTTATAATTTAATTCTAAATTCCATTTTTAAGGAGTAAATTTTGAAAACAACGTTTTTGACGTCATGGTCACATGACAAAATTATGTCTATCAGCCAATCAGAAGACGTGTTACATCCAAAATTAAATTATTTGAAAATTGAAGAAATACCTAAAAGACTCCTTTACAACACATATGCATTTAGCATGTTTATACTCTAATTGTATTACAAATTTAAATATATAAAAGTTTTTGCAATTCTTTGTGGTTGAGGAATTTTGTTTTTCATTTTGTATATATTTAATGTAAACTTACTGTTACAAAATACAAATATCTACATGCCATAATATTTTTGAATAGACATAAAATGAATTATAGAAATATTCAAAGCTTTAATTGTGGAAAAAGTCTACCCATCTACCACTCTTATGTGATATAGATTAACTTTATAAAATGCAGGATCATGATCACAAATAATAAAACTAAAGGTCAGGTAGAAATTTTAATATGGATGCTAGAACGGGGCGTATCTACTTGAAAACAATTAGTATAGAAAGTATACCCTATACCCTCCTTAGAATATAGATAATAAGCTTGTGAAATAATAAATCCTTACAAACCTACATAGAATGAATAAATTATTGCTTCTATTTATCATGTTCATTCAGCCTTTCTATTTTAGACCCTTTGATTGACATAATTTTCATAAGTAATTTGAAAAGTGCTACTAAATTATAGAGAAGATTTAAGGGTACCTAGTTTGTGCATGTGAAAAAGTATGATAAATATTTTTGAGATTCCTAGATAATGCCAAAATGCTTATCCATTTATGTACATGATGTATGTTAACTTTTTTTTTTAATTTGATAGTAATGTTGATCAGTATTGTAATAGGTTTTTGGCTTTCAGGTACTCATGTGAAAAATGCATAAGATATTATAAAGCTAGTCACCATTAATTAAGCATTCTTTTCATTGCTTTTGATTTGTCTAATTTATCTATGTTATTTGAAATTTTGTACTTTTCACATAAAATACACGAAACAACTTTATATAATTTAATTTAATTATCATTGAAATGTTTAAGAATATTTTTTAATCATTTTTATAAGAATTTTTGTGTTACAATATGCTTTAATAATAAATCAGGGAAAATTTCATATTATGTACGGTCAATTCATTTATTTTCATATTTCACACTAACATCAGATTCATAAATTTTTGCAGTTTTTTGGGGCAAAAATTGTGTCGACATAGGTGTTGCAAAAATAATTTTGAATGTTGATAGAATTATTTGTGTGCAGCATTATATCAAATCTCAATTTTTGAATCATGCTTTTTTGCTTATGGTTCAATGATTGCAAATTACTGAATTTACAGTACCAATTTTCATACATTGAGGAATTGTTTTTTTGCTGTCTACATATACTTGATTTGGTGTTTATACAAAATTTGTAAAATAGCTAATAGGAAATGCATATCTATTTAAACGTTAAAATTTGTGATTAATCTAAATTCTGAAATCCATAAAAAATTAGTATATCTCAAAAAATATGAATCTGCAGTATTTTTGTATTTCCAATATAGTAAAATGGATGTGTAACTTGCAGGAGGTTAAGTGGCCGACCTTGCAACCTGACTTCTCATTTAAAAGGACCTGTGACCTTAAAAAATGTTCGAAACTGAGTATAATAAGATTCACTAAGAATGCCAGTCAAATTTTATTAAAATTGACCTGGTGACATTAGGCAATTTTAAACGTAACCTGACCTAAGGGTGGTACCTTACTGAAATTTACATTTTTAATTTACCAGTGTGCCATGATGATCATTTGTATAATTTTTATCTCATTATATATGTTATCCCATTTAAAAGATGGTAGATTTATAAAGGTACTCCATTAGTGGGTTTTGAACTGGTATCGTGTCAACTGGGATCCTATGCCATATTCATGAAAATGGTTGACACAGACGTACCAGTATTTTTTTATAGAGTAATGTCCCATTACCTAGGTTGTTACTGTATGATTTATATTATACCACACTTATTTTATTCATTTCTATGATTTGATTCATTCATCATCACTTAAAATAATCTGTTTATCATTTAAAAAAAGGGGGGAATGATTTTTTCTTGAAGAAAATACATTAAAACAAGATGTGAAGCTTAACATTAGGACTCTTCCAATGTGTTATAGGGAAAAAAAGATGTGGATTATCCATCACCACAATTAGAAAATTTTCCAAAAAATAAAATTCCTGCATGTTATTTAAGATTTTTGCCATTTTATATGATTTTATAATGTCCTATTCCTGATTGTGACATTTTGTCTTGGTGTGAATTCGCATGGCGAGTGATGCATTTTAGCAAGATACGCTTACCATGTAGACACACCCAGTATGGCTCCTTGTGGAGTTATTGTGATTCCCTCAGTTTTTAGGTAGTTGCATGACTTTCTGATTTGTTTCTAGTATATTATTTTATATAAAGCCAAATAAGACAGTCACATGATCTTTACAATTCAGTCGCTCCCACTGATCATGCTAATAAGCATTTTTTACCAGCATTTGTACATGTATATTCATTTATGGATATATCTAGTCTACTTTAGCTCAGTCGATTGTGTTATTCTTTTTTATATTAGTAAGTATATTCTGTATGTTTTTTGCTGTTTAATAAGATGGAATTGTGTAGGAAAAATGTCTTAACAAAAAGTCTAAACTGTGGGTCTATTGGGACATGGCTTTTAATGAAAGATAAGCATTCCTTGTAAGTACAAATTACCTTATTCCAGACCAGGTTGATGTTAATTTAGAATGCAATAATGTTGCAGATGCTAGAACATATAGAATATAGATTTTTTTTAATGTGAATTCAATTTTCTACTTGTAAATTTAAATTCATAAAAATTTAAACAGGTTTTAGTTAAATACTGAAATATACATCATTTCTTTTCTGGGCTTAATAACAAGCCTTATCCTCAAACGCAAAGTTCTTATTTAGGAAGGGAGGTGGTGACCGGGAATTCTCCAATTATAGGAGATTCTTTTTTTTCTTTTTCTTTTTGCAAGTCGAGTTTAAAATCATAGTTTATATATGATGAGATCCAATCTGATCAAAATGGAGATCCTGTGTTTAGTCTTTGCTAATACAAGGACCTGAAAACTCTGTGTTTTACTTTCTGTTTAGAACACATTTCCAGATCCTCTGATTATGATGTAATGATTCACGCCCTCAAAAATTTTGAGGCAAGCATTTCATTGGCTGATATAATAATTACAAGAGCAGAAAGTAGAATGGAATGTTGGTAGATCCCTTGTAAGCAAAGCAGGGACACAGGGTCTGTATTTTAATTAGATTGGTTGAGATCTTGGTAAAAATCCTGGATCAGCCATTAATTTTTCAATTTGTAAAATGTTAAAATGTAAAGTTGATTTTTTTTAAACAACTTTTTAACTTTTTATATTGCATAACCTGTCAATTATAATTGGATAGAAGCCTACATTGATTTATTCTTGTAAATATCAACTTAAATATATCTGTATATTTTACCTTAGACCTTATAGTATACCAGTATATATATATTTTATTTTGAATAATTATTGTATGTTTGGAAATTATTTATGGTAAAAGGTTTGTCATATTCTATGAAGTCTAAATTGTTGGTTGTTTATAAAAGTTTTATGTATTTAGACCACAAATAAATACAAATTCAATTTTATGCATGTGTTTGGTAATTTGTGCAGATGCCATTGGTTCTGTTGAAGAATAATAATAATAGTCCTCAAATTATACATAATTAGTTAAATCAAAAGATGCCATGTGTTTGTTGACCTGTGTTGTTAAAACTGTGGACTGGTCTGGATAGAGTTTACAGAATAGGGAATAATGAATATAAGTGCAGAATAAAAGTAAAAGAAAAAGAAAAAATAGAGAAAAAGAGCAAAAAAATATAGAAAGAGATAAAAAGGCAAAAATTAAGAATTGAAAATGTTGGGGTGTTTAAGTATAAAGGATATAGAATAATTGACAAAATAAAGAATAGAGAAAAATGGTCGTAAGAATTAAAAAATAAAGAAATGAAGGACACCATCCAGTTCTTCTACTATTCTATTAAGATACTTTTATTTCACAGACAGTTGATCTTTAGAGTTAGTTCCCTTTAGTTATTAGTAATGTACACTTAACTATCACTATAGGAAAATGACTACATAGTTTACGCGCCATCTTTTTAAACCTGTCCAAATTTGAGAAAATTCATCAGTGGTTGTCTTAAGTTTTATTTATTTGTTTGCCCTTTGTATGGATAACAAATCTTTGGAAGCCTCGTAGAAATTTATCAGTTCAGAACGTGGCACATTGAATAGACAATTATCTGTTGTGAAAGACCGTGTTTCCCATAAGATGTCTGTTCTTTGTTGTTTTTTTTTGTGTTTTAGGTTGCTGTTTCATTGGTGTACATTTATACCCAAAATCTATCTATACCTAAGTAAGTCTTCTGATCTTTTTCTAAATACTTCATAATTTGGTAAATCGAGATATTTTTTCTATGGAATGATAGCTGATTTGTTATTTGGTTGCGGTTCTTCAATGACATTTTATAGGATGCCAATATTTACTACTGTTAATTCAGAAATTATTGCGTGCATTTATTATTGCGATTTTTTAATAATGAACATAAATGCAAATTTAATTATTGCGATTTTAGGAAATGCTACACAAAGCTATATGTACAAGATACCAGAATGCAAGTTCTTATTGCAATTCTCAAGGAATCGCATTATTCGCAATAATAAAAACCTCGCACTAATTTCTGAATTTACAGTATACTGTACTGAAAAATATTTTGTCATTATATCTAAACTATGATACCA